CGTGGTGGTGGACTTCGAGGCGACGTGCTTCCAAGACGCGCGGATCTTCCCCCAGGAAATCATTGAGTTCCCCGCCGTGCTCGTCGACGGTGCCACCGGCCGCATCGAGTCCGTCTTTCGCAGGTACGTTCGTCCAAAACATCACCCTGTGTTGACCCAGTTTTGCAGGGAACTCACCGGCATCCGGCAGGAGGACGTCGACGGCGGCGTGGATCTCGGCGAGGCGCTCTGGCTGCACGACGCTTGGTTGAAGGCGGCGACGGCGGGGGCAGGGAACAAGAGACGCGTCCGCTTGGCCGTCGTGACATGGGGGGACTGGGATTGCCGGACCATGCTCGAGTTCGAGTGCCGCTTCAAGGGCATCAAGAAGACCTCGTCCTTTGATCAGTGGATCAATCTGAGAGTCCCCTTCCAGGCGGCGCTCGGTGGCGGAGGGCGGGTCAACCTGCAGGAAGCGGTCCGGGCGGCGGGGCTGGACTGGGAGGGCCGCCTGCACTGCGGGCTGGATGACGCGCGCAACACCGCACGGCTACTTGCTGAGCTCATGCGGCGCGGGGTCAAGATCAACATCACCGGCTCGCTGGCGCCACCGCCGCCGATGCAGAAGCAGCCGGCTCGCACAAGCCTTTGCGGTGGCTCACCGACGCTGGCGTCGGCGCCGTCGCTGATCCAGCAGCAGTCGCCTCGCACAGGCCCTTTCGGTGGCTCGTTTGCGCTGGTGCCGGCGCCGATCCAGCAGAAGCAGCAGCCGTCGCAGCCACACATGATCAACCCCTGCGGTGGCTCCTCTGCGCCGTGCTTCAGGTACTGCGGCGTGGCGAGCAGAGGAGGCATGGAGCCATGGCCGACGCAGTCTGGATGCGGCAACTAGACGCCGGCCATGGGACCCTACTTCCTGTGGAGCAACTGAACCCAGTGTCGCTCAGCTGCTAGTGTTGATCGTCCTAGCCATCAGAATCTGTCTAGTCTAGGTGTAAATTTGGTCATTGAAATCGAACTTGACCAATAGGGCTATTCTTCATGTAATCGGTGTCTGAATTAGTATTATCAATAGAAATTTCATTTTAGTTATGTTCCTTCTCCGCGAATTTCTGAGACAACAGAAAATTCAGATCAGGAAAAACAACCAACTGTGGATTTCTGAGATAAGAGCACAAATGCCTCATCATATTGGAAAAGACAACCTTATATCCAAAATAATTTCTTTGAACACAAATGCCTCAACTATACTCCTAGTATATCAGTTATTGTTCACTGAAATCGAACGTGACCAATGGGGCTATTCTTGATGTAATTGGTGTCTGAATTATTAGTATCAATACAAATTTCTTTTAAATACTACTCCCTCCGTCTCATAAAGACGCTTTTTGACACTAGTGTAGTATCAAAAATCATCTTATATTATATGACTAGTGTCAAAAGGCATCTTATATTATATGAGACGGAGGGAGTAGTAATAATAGAAGATTTGTTTTGCCTTCTCTGTGGATTTCTTCAGTGCCGAGCAACGGGCCAACGATTGACTTGTAAGTGACATTAATAAATTTCTGACGAATGCCACAATTCCAATCGACAATGCAAACGGGAAAGTCGTCCTCCGATGAAGCCCCCCGCTCCGCCGAGGGGCTGCTCGCCGGACGGGGCATCCATCACGTCGGGCAAAGACATGGCGGCAACGACCGACGCCATGAGGTATGGTCTCTGTCCAAGGCACATTCGTCAGCACCGAACAAGACAATGTTGACCACTTGCCATCTTGCCGCATATCACCATCATATAGGAAACCTTATATCAAGATTGAAAAATAAAACAGCTAACTGTAGATTTCTGAGATAAGAGCCAATTCAAATCATTTGCTCCAACACAAATGCCAACAGTTGTCAAGCTCTTACATAAACGCCATACATTATCGGTCACAAAACGAAAACTTGGTTACAAGCACACCACAACCGTTGTTGCTGGCCAATCAAGTCTCCCCTCTGCAGACCAGCAGGTAGCATCACAGCCAAACACAAAGGAAGGACTAACCAGTAACCATGGTTTGGGTGAGTCGGTTACAAGGTGCTCAAAGACTAGCAAAATCTACTGCCTACGGAGGGGAACAAGCTACTCTGCGCTACCTAGCCCTTGGGTTCTACTGCAAGGGCTATATCAACCACCTACAGAAGTTGTATCACACCAGGTGCGCCTTCAGGCCAATAAAACCAAGGTTGCTGTTAGCATCACACCAGGTGATGTGAATGTGCATAGGAATTTCACTTTGTTGGGCTGATGTGTTTCCTGATCATGTTCAAGGTCTCCATAACCTGTTAAAGCAAGACTACAATAAGTACCCGACAGAAACATCAAAATCATAATTTGTAAGGGTGCAAGAAAATCATGTTGTCCCGATGGATTCCAGCAATTCCTAGCACACTAGCCTGACATGGAGCAATAGGTACTCCTAGACGTAGGTGCCCGTGGGACTGGCATGGTGTACGCATGAATGACACCGGTCCATGGGTTGTACCCACCGGCCCACGTAGGAGGCGCCTGGGACTACTGCAGCTGACGAGGAGGGCCCGCGGCCTGCGGCTGCTGCTGGCCGCCGCACCTGCCTCCGCGCCGCCGGTCGGCGGGTGGCGCGGGAGGAGCGGGGTGCTGCGGCTGCGGGTAGGGCGCCGGGTGGTGCTGCTGTGGAGGCGCAGCCGGGGCGGCGGGTGGAGGTGGTGGCCCGCCGCGGGTGGTGCCGGCGGCGAGGGCAGTGTGGATGGCCCGCGCCTTGACCTGCTTCATCCGCCGCTCCTCCAGCCGGAGGTAAGCAACAAACTTTGCGAAGGAGAGCTTGGGGATGAGGGCGAGGTTTGCCGCGGTGTTGCCGAAGTCCTCGTTGAGGACGGCGGTGAGCGTGCTGAGGAGTAGATCATCGTCAATCTTTGCGCCAATATCACGGAGCTCGTCTGCGAGAGTCTTGACCATAGTCGTCGACGGAGGAGTTGTCCTGGTGGCATCCAAAAAACTCTCGACGTTGAAGACGATTGTTGGTGAAGAGCCCGTTCAGATTGGTCCACACGGCGTGGGTGTCATCACCTTCTTACACGACCGTCTGAAACAGGTCCGGCGAGATGGTGAGGAAGAACCACCAGATGAGCATGGCGTCGATGGTGGACCAGTCATGGAACTCGGGCACGAGGCTAGAGTCGACGGAGCCGTCCACATGGTCGTGGTACTCCCGGAACACGAGGGAGAAGTACGTCTTCCACGCGTAGTATGAGGAGTCCATCTGGGAAAGACGAACCGGAACCCGCTTGTAGATGTTGAGGTTGCGGATGTCAGTGACGTCGGGAGGGTTGGCGTCGGTGAACGGGTTGGAGGGGTTGGAGGAGCCGGTCGAGGTGACGGATGACATGGCGATGGCGTGGTGGTGCGGCTAGGGCTCGGGTTAGGGTTTGATGGCGGCGGCTAGGGAGCGGTGCAGCCATAGCATGGGGCTGGGTTGCGGCAGCGGCTAAGGGAAGCGGTGGCGGCGAGTGTGGATGGCGGCGGCGGCTCTAGGGTTAGGCGGCTGCAGTTGTCGCGGCAACGACAGAAGGCGGTGGCGGCAAGAGCAGTAGGAGGGAGTAGCGCGGCGGGGGGAAGAAGGTAGCGGTGGCGGCGATCACGATGAGGGGCACGATGCAGCGGCGGGAGGGGGAGAAGGTAGCGACGGGGCGATTGCGATGAGAAGGCACGGTGCGGCGGCGGCGGCTAGGGCGGTGGCGGCGCAAAGGAGGCGCGCGGCGGTGGTGGCGGAGCGGAAGCGAGGGTTGTAACCTAAAAAACTGATACCATGTATGTTGTTGGAATTGCACGATGTATTAGTGAGGTGCAATCGCACATATATATGATGTACAATGGTGGACCATGACCTCAACCATACAAGAAAAACTAGGAGGTGGGCCCAATATACAATATGCACAACACATATACTCAACAGGTTGGATCATGATCGGGTCGCGAAGAGTACGACTACATCAACCACGTTGATAAACGCTTCCGCTTAGCAATCCAGAAGGGTATGTGGATGCTCTACCCCTCTCATAGCTATGCATCTCCATGGATAGATCTTGCGTGTGCATAAAAATATTTTTGTTTTTCATGCAACGTTCCCCAACACACCTATGGTGGTGGCACCGGCGCGAGAGCATCGACCGATGCTCATGGTGGTGGAGCCTCCTCCTTCTTCCTTGGTTGTTGTCCCTTCTTCTCTGGTGTGGAGTAGCAATGGAGATGGGATGTGGATGAATGAGATGTGTTGTGGAAGATGGAGAAAGCGATTAGGGTTGTAGATGATATATATGGAGCCTCCCTAGCCTCCTCTCTTGATGGGCTCCATCCAATGGCTCACAATGAGCCAAATCCTATCACAGTCTCTTCTTTACGAGCCAAGGATCCCGTGGGATCGAACATGGACGAAATTGGGGAAGAATCCCCTCTAGAAGGGCAACTTTCGGAGCTGCCTACACATCAAACTACCGCTCAAACGACACGTGCGGTCGTTCGGAACGTCGTCTTTTGATATGTCCGCCTCCCGTAAACGACCATCAAATCTTCATACGAAATCGGCATTTGACGATCTTGGGCTCGTTTGATTTGTATGATTGACGCCGATCCATTTCTGGTCTTAGAACTTATTTGGAGCACTTTGGAAAAATGACTTTTTCCGTCCTTCGAAATGGCTAAGTCCTACCCCTGGTTGACTCTGTATCAATCGCATCATTGGTCCTTTCATCGCGCTTGGTCCTAGGTTGCTCCAAAACACCTGTAGACACAAGAAAACAAGGAAAACTAATAAGAATCAAATAAAACACTAAATGTGCGATGCTCACAATGGTAAGTGCAAATACCTATAATCATGCATAATGGCAAATATTCAGTTCAATGGGACATAGTATATGAAGAGAACATGCAACAAATAAGCTCTAAAATATGTAGAATCGTCAGGCACCACCTCCACTTGGGCCTTGGTGGCCCAAGTTGCCTTCCACCACTAAGCCTTTTAAGGCCCGTTAATATTTAAATTAATATAAAAGCTTTCTAATTATTATTAGACCCTTATATATATAATTTAACATCCCTGGAAACATTTTCCATCTATATATTATTTATCGGTATTACCCGATACTCTCCAAAACCCTTTCGGTGACCCCAAAACCTCTCGAAACTATCACGAATATTAATGAAACAATTTCACAAATATGTTCTCATCACTCATGTCCTATGAACACTTAGCAGATCATGATTGCCTTAAGCTTGTGACTCCGTAGGTTCGGTAACTCATAGACATGAACGAAACCCACTACAAGAAATACATCAACTTGCCACCATCACTATTGGTCACTGAATGGTCATCATTTTCCATTTGCAACCTTTTTTTGACCAGAAACAGATGGTCAAAAGCTGGTGGTCGTAAATTGAAATTAACAACCTTCTTTGTGATATGTAAAAGGTCGTTGGTTCTACGACCAAATTTTTGGTCACTAGCAGCCTCCCCAGGCCACGTAGGATCTAGCATGGCAAGCTAACATGGATAAGATTCAGCCCGGTCCAATCCGGTGTTCTACACGGGCCTTGCCCAAAAATTCGGCCATTTTATATATTTTTTCTTTCAATTTTTGATCGGCTTCATGGGCCAAGCCCAACGTTGCAACCTTTTTTATTGTTGGGTTGTGGCCTTTTTGTCTAAACAAATTTAGTTTTTCTTTGTTTTCCCAAAAGAAGGGTCCACTAGTTAGACGGGTCCTGGCTGCCAGGTTCTATTAAAGTGGGACCCTTTTGAAAAAATCATATTATTCAGATTACGATTTGACAATTTGACGGAAATAAATAACCATATTTAAATAAGAACAGGCAGAAAACACAAGTAATATTTCAAATAACAACAACGAGAATCAATCACAGTCACACAGATATAC